ACAAAATGAATTGGATTTTATTATAGCTGCATTTTACATCCAAAATATGATTGGTTCGAAGATTTTTTCTGTAAATGCCACTTGTCTTACTAGGAAAGCAAGCATATTTGTGCATTCTTGAGTGGTGCTTGAACCTTAAGGGCATTTTGAATTAAACAAAAAAAACTATCATCAAAGAAAATTTCGCTTCAAAAAAATACACAATTTCCTGTATTTTAGTCTGTGATTTCCTTTTGTTTCTAACCAATAAAGCCTTCGCACAATGCTTAGATATGCATGTACTCAACATCTTCTCCCAGCACATGCAGTACGTTATAAAATCAGTCTTTCTCTTTCTCTCTCTCTTTCTCTCTCTCTCTCTTTCTCTCTCTCTCTCTCTCTCCAAAAACCCAAGTAATCAAATATTGTAGTTGAACTTCAAAGAGCTAAAGAAATTCCAATGCTAAAGCCAACTTCCGCAGAGCCTTAACCAGAAATATGAATTCAATTGTACTCATTTCTTGGGGTCATTTACCGATTAGAAGCAGCTTAGGTGGGATACCCCCGGAAAGTCTTTGGTAGGCCAGGCCAGAGAGGGAAAAAGATAGGGAGGGGGAGGGGGGTCGTCTTACAAGGGGGAACAGGAAGGTGAAGGTGAGGTTTGCACCTGCCGCTCGCAAGAAATACAACACCTCAGCCCTTGATCCCTTTCCGACAGAAACTCAAGAAAGGGAGAGAGAGAGAGAGAGAGAGAGAAAGAGAGAGATTGAGAGAGGGGGAGGGGGAAAAGATGGAGGGAGAGAGAGAGAGAGAGTGTGTGTGTGTGTGAGAGAGAGAGAGAGAGAGAGAGAGGGACAGATGGAGGGAGGAAGAGAGAAAGTGAACACTAGCCAAGAGAATCTGAAAGTTACTTGTAACTATCTTTTTTTAAATGATCTTTTCCTCTTGGCATTTCCCTTGCTATGTGCTTGCTCACTGATTTATCAAATAAATTCCAGTTGCACTTATTTGTCTTTGTGAACAATTAGTTTGCAGAAATTCATGAACGGATGAGAAAGAAAGAGGGTGGGGCTGAGGGTTTGAATGTGTATTTGTGTACTAGACTGAATGAGATAGAGAGAGAGAGAGAGAGAGAGAGAGATAGAGAGAGATATAGAGGAGAGAGAGAGAGATAGAGGAGAGAGACAGAGAGAGACAGAGAGAGACAGAGAGACAGAGAGAGCAAGAGCAAGAGAAACAGGAACAGGAACAGAAAAGTTACTTGTACTTATCCCAATGTAATTGTTCAATCCTATGCCCCATGCTTGGTATTGATTGATGAGATGTGTGTTGTGGTTTCAGAAATATCTTGCCACAACAATTCCACAATAGTATCACATTCGTAACCACCAGAGGAAAGAATCATTTTTTCTCTAGTAACTTTCGGGATAAAGCCTTCATGATCAAAGAAGAATGTCTGAGCTTCTAGAACTGTGCTTCTTTTTTCACATTTGTGCTATAAACAACCTCACAGAAAATTATGATATTCCAAAAAGAGTTTTAAGAAATGAATTTTTAAAAAACTGGTTATTGTTTATTACGCATCGGGATTGTTCGTTCTACTAACACACTATCTAGAATATCATAATGCAAAGAAGGAGAAAAGTTTACCGAGATAATTAATGAATTTTTGCAGGTACACAGACAGATGATTGTTTGATGATCAGGCGTGGTAAAGGTTTATAGAGAAGGAGCGAAAGGAGAAAATCAAATTGGTTTCAAACAATCTTTTAGAAACAAGAAAGTTTTAATCTTCTAGCGTTTGCATAAAAAATGAGAAAATATTGAAAGAGAAAATTGATAAAATTTTGCAAATTTGCAAACACAGCTCACTGTGTATGACATTGGTTGACAGAAGAGGATAAAATCACTCTGACTTCAGCGAGAGGAACAATAAGGATTTGCCAAGTTTTGAACAACTTCATGAACAAAGTGCTAATCTTCCAGGATAACTTTATATCTCCTAGGATAAAAGTTTGTATCTTTTAGTATATTTGGAGGATAAATCATCCTGCTAAATGGTCTACGTGCTTGAGACGGCCCAGCGTGACATGACGTAAGTCTGTGAAAAGGGACATTTTTAGTTTTACTGAAACTCCGAGGGAGCAGAAGAGACTTCCAACGATAACAACCTTTGTGTTACCCACCACACCTTGGGAGGGGTGAACAAAAGGAAAAGAAACTTTGTCATGGCTCCATATAGTTTCACTGGAGAACATCTATGTCGGTCTGGTGTTGGTCTCGTTGCATGATGTAAAAGCCCTGTATCTGTAATGAAATTTTAAAAAGAGAACAGTTGTCACTAAAGTAAATTCTGGATTATTTGGAACACCTTGATTAGGTAAAGTGGTAGAATGGTAGTAAAGTTTAAATTCAGCCAGCAAGTTCTTTGGCTTTAAACTGTGAGTGCATCCACCTCCAAGAGCACCAGCTGTTAGAGCTAGGCCCTTCTCCAGTTTCCCTCGGTCCATTTCTTTAGAGGGATTCTACCATAAATCTCCTTTCTCTCATATTAGTTACCATGAATGTGACATTCTACCAACCTCCACCCTCCTCCCTCCCCCAGTGGACAATCCAAACTTTCCTAGGTTGATTGTAACTTCTTTTACAGCCATGTCCTCCTACCTTTTATTTCTAACGTTCTATTGATTTCACCTACTTGAACTTGTCGGCACAGGAGCTCCCTAAACTGTAGATACAGCTTGTAGTTCTTTGAAGACTCCTCCCCTTGGAATCTTCTGTAGCAATGGCTGATTGCTTGCCAATTTTGCTTGGGTTATTAGGAAAGCAAAATATATGCTGTTAATTCAATTTCTGAGGACCTATATTTTTAATCCTGACTGTTGTACTAGAAATAGTTGGAAGATATAATGCCTAAGCCACAGGCACGAATGGTATGAATTTGTCTCAAACTTGGGAAACCCTTGTTTCCAAAACCAAATGACTTAATTCACTGATCCTATATCACCACTGTTAATTGTTGAGGTAGGTTAAAGTGGTGAAGTTACTCATGACCTGCTTTAGATTTAGTAAATATTATTATCTTGAATTGTTTATATATTTTCTGATGATAGGCCGAAGAGCATTTATTATATGTAATGTCCTTTCATAAAAAGTGTAACACCCTTCTGGCTGTCGACAGACTATGTGTTATGATGAAGTTAACTTCAATTGACACTTTGCTGAGAGAGGGTTAATGTGGAAATGCCACATGAAATGTCAAATTAAGTTTCCTTTTTCTTTAAGAGCATCTGAACATTATGAACCGTTAACTTCCCGCAACTTTCTCCCACGATATCATCAGGTTTCAAATTGCGAACATCCGCTTTTCTCCCAACTTCTTGAACAAACTCCATCACATACATTTCTTATTCTTATGACACATAGCATCTCGAGTTCCCTACCATTTTCCCCCTTCCGTTATAATTCCATCACCAATTCAGTGATCATCCGCGGCAGGGCTGATGGGAGGTGACATATCCTCATGATATAGCATCGACTTCTGAACCATTTGCACTCTTGAAGTATCGCAAGTGAAAAGTTCAAGGTTCCCCACGGAAACCCGATCCAACTCTGTAGAGATACAATGTTCCATGCAGCGAGATTAAAAACCGATAGCCTACATTGGGGAGAAAGTTTGACAAGACTGCCAAAAGGAATAGCGAGCTATTAAGTTAGTGGGGTGATGGTCGCTTGTAAACAGAAAATCTAGTCCTTGAATATGATCTGATGGGCTAGATGTATTGATACATTGGGAGGTGGAGCAAGATTGTGCAGTGAGTGTGATGCTTATAAACAAAGTGTCATGACGATAAATGGAAAGGAAGTGTTGTGATGATTAAACGGGAGATTTGGAAATAAACGATTAGTGATGGACTCAAATCATGTACTTCAGTTTTTTCACATTCTCTTGAATGATTCTGAGTTTAATTTCTTGATGTGACAAGTGCTCACCAGGATTTTGATACCTGTGCTTAAATAAAAAAACACCCTCTTTTTATCAAAAAATAATGCATATATTAAACACAGAAGTTCTTTCAGGGCATGAATGATCAAAGCTTAAGAATAATTCATTTTAGAATATCACAGGAAAACACAATTATTATGAACAAAAAAGTGAAGAGGGAAATGAGCAGTTGCTAATGGCAACCCACCATAAGTGATGCTTTGAATGAATTATACTTTTGACACTCCATACCAAACACTAGCATTCATCAAAACCACCTCAAACAACAAGCTCAGTGAAACATAGTTTGTTCAAATTTGGACAGAACCTAAACACTTTGCAGAAGTTAGCTGGACTATTTTACATCATTTTACTTTTGCTTTAAAAACTTGGAAATTTAAGTTTTGGCAAATGTCTTTGGGGGATGTCATGGTGGTATCTATAATGGGTGGCCCACACATCACATGACATTTTCTTGTCGTCACCTAAACAGCTAGAGCCCTGAACCTGAACAGTTTTACATTCTGGATCCACCCAGCTGACACAATTCTTTTGAAATAAACCTACTAAATCTACATGGTCCCCTACTGCGACAAATACTACATTTGAACCTGCTTCCCTTCTTTCATCTCTCTCTCTCTCTCTCTCTCTCTCTCTTTCTTGCGACTTACCTCTTTCTTTCCCTCTCCCTCTCTCTCTATCTCTCTTTTCCCTCTTTCTCTCTTTTTCATTCTCCCTCTCCCTCTCTTTCGTACGTACTCCTGTAGCCTTCTGTGTATCTTATTTTGTTTTTTGTAATTTACCAGGAGAACTGCAACATTAAAATGTGTACAACTTTTAAGTTCTAACCAATCATAAGATTATCTGTAATAGCATTTTCACCTGCACTAGTCAGGTGTGCCAGTAAGTAGAAACATCAAGATATTATTTTCCCAAAGTTATGATATAAATATATTCCGATAGGGAATGGGTTACATGATGGCATTTAACTAACCTTCTTCTTTTTTCTTTTCCTTCTTTTTATCTTCCAGATACCAACGAATGTCTTTTCAGCAATGGAGGATGCAGTGGTAGATGCTGTAACACCATCGGTAGCTTCTACTGTAAATGTGATGTTGGATTTGAACTCGCCATGGATGGATTCAGTTGTAGAGGTAATTAAAATAAATAATTCACAAACAATACTTTGTTCTGTTGCTCATTTATTCAAGAATATTTATAGGACAGCCAGTACAAGGAAGTGATCTGATTTCACATTTGTAGATAAATTTATTGGAGAAAGAAATTTTAATGAAATAATGTTTGAAGTACACAAAGAAAAAAATCACTATGAGACCTCTCATGCTTTTTCTATCAAAAGTGAGATAAAGTCATGGAAAGATTGGAAGCCGTTTCTATCATTTCCAAATTCTTATTCTGCAAATGGCAACGAATGTGAACACCTTCAAGATTATTCTTAGCAGCATTGATCCTCTACTTCTACCATAGGTCCTTGACAATCTCTGCTGCCCGTCTCTGAACGTCATCAAAGATCAGCCTGATTGAAATAAAAGTTATGTGATGGAAGAAAGGTAATGCCTGGCTGGAATGCTCCCCAGGGAGTGGAGATTGTGTCCACAGTTTGTGCGGGCAAGCACTGAATTCAATGACCGGGGTATTAGTATATCTGTAAAGCATTTAAAGATGTCCAAGATGTATAAGCGCTATATAAAAGCTGAGTCAACATGGGATATGAAAAGATATATGATTTGAAATATTATTATTATTATTATTATTATTATTATTAATTTCAATTTCTCATTTTACAGATATCGACGAGTGTGAACAGAACAACGGAGGCTGCCAGCACACCTGCCGAAACACCCATGGAAGCTTCACGTGTGAATGCCCCTTCGGAGAGCGTCTCAACCCCGACGGTGTCACCTGCACTCGTAAGACCGCTCAAAGAATCTCCTCAAAACTCTCCCAGGGGGGCTTTTCACAAAACCTTTTTTCAATGACAAATGACAAAAATCAGTGACAAATCTGCTGTTAACCAATCAGAAGCAAGGATTTCAGTAGCTTATAACAAAAACTGTCATTTGTCACTGATGAGTTTTGTGAAACTCTCCCTGGTCAAAACAAAAGGGTGCTTGGTCAATAGAACATTCCATTTATTTATATTTATCCATTCCTTTATCCCTGATAGTGATAGATATTTATCTACTGATGTCATACAAAATTTCCATTAGCTCTCATTTAGATGTAGAGTACTGTATTCTGAAAACTTTTCATTAGTATTACCATTATCGGATTGCTGTGTTGTGGTGGCCCATGGGTAGAATATTCTAAACCCTCCCAAAAATGAAATATCCTTTATCTGTACTCTTCTGCAACACATATATATTTATATATGCCAATATGCTCTAGGCTGTGGTATGTTGTAGCATTTTCTAAAGCTTTTCACGTTCCTTTCTCAACCATGCTTTAAGTGTCTTTCAAATCAAACCCTTCTTGTCGGTTAGCTTTCTATATATATAGTCCAAAACCTCCGACCCTGGAAGACAATTTTTCAATTCATATTTCTTATTCTGCTCTTTCTAGAACTGTGGTATTATTAGAAAGTGTGTTTAAAAACAACATATATCTGCCTCAAGAATTTGTACTATCCATGCTATGAATCTAAATGCTTTATGTTTTGTGTCATTATGAAAATCTTACATCTGCCTTACTTCTTGCAAATCTGGAAGTCCTTTTGCAGTTATCTATATTTATCTGTATTCTTTACGCTGTTCATAATTCTTCATGCAAAACATGAAAGTATTTCTAGTCTTTATAAAAATATTTCACCTCCTTTTAATATTCCATATAGATTTGAGTATTCATTCCTGTAACTTTTGATATAGATTAGTATCATTTGTTGCAAGGGGAGAAGGCCTGCTGTGTATCAGAGCTAAGGCAACTCTTGCACTAAAACTATTAGTATGACCATAGATAAATTATATACCGTATACTTCTTTTATCTTCCATTCTATAGACAAACATGTTTGAAATTTACTTTTTATACTTGAAAGTTAAATAATTAAAAAAAATACAGTCCAGTCTTTATCAATATGTGTAATTATTCTCACTGGGAGGAGCTCTTCGAATAAGAATTATGAAGATATTTTTATTTTGATAATGGGAACCTTTCAAATACATAGTAGGTGTCATCTAAGCCCCCCATACAGGGCTTAAGTTAGCGGCCAGGTATTATGATACAAAATATAATAGGAAGAAATTTGTGTTTACACATCTTGCTTGAAATATTTTACCACTTTCAACTCTGAAAGCATTACCAAATTCAAAAGAAACGTTGAGAGCCATTTCCAAATGGACAAAGCCTCCAAAATAAAACTTTCAAACATGCTTGTGTTTTTACAAAAAGAGAATACTTATTCATGCTGTGTCTAACTGTGTGTCACCACCAAACCATGCTCTTTAAATATTGTACTTCTTCTGTCTTCCCTATCAAACCCTCATCCTTCTGAATATTGATAACAAAATCATTATTAAAACGACGACAGCTCAAGATGGATGCGCAATCAACAACGGCGGTTGCCAGCACCAATGTCTCTCGCATCCTTACGGTCACTTCTCCTGCCAGTGTCACGCCGGTTATAGACTAGCCGGAGACGGGAGGGCGTGTCAACGTAAGTCCGACGGAGTTTCGTCAGCACCTCTGATACAAATGCACGCACACACTAAATGCCCCTTACAATTTGTTTCATGATTACATAATATCTCTGTGCATGTACCGGTATGCAAGATTGTCAAAAATTTGGGGTAAAATCTTGAGGAAAGATCAAGCAAAGAGGGGTTTTTTTGGTCCTTGTCAGCATTAATTTTCAAATTCCAGTTTGGGAATTGATTATATATAAGGGATAAAATTGAAATCAATAATTTGATATAAGTTTGTTTAAAAAAAGGAAATCAAAAGTCCCTTCCTCTATCCAACAAATATATACCAGCTAAAACTAATTTCCAGGTTGATGAAATCAACCATGTTCTTTATACACCTGACTCCTGTCTGTTAGCAGTTAGAATCATACATGATTTTATATATACACAACCCATATCAAATCCTAACACAAATTCATTTTTTTATACAATTTACATGAATTCTTTGCATGTTTTTGCCATGTTTTCTTTTCACTATGACCCCAAGTCTTTGAAATGTCATATTGACATTATCTCTCTCTCTCTCTGATATTAGTGTTCATTATATGTCATATTTGCATGATTCTCCACTATTTGTTGCAAATTTGACAAGTATATTTGTACTGCATGCTACATACAAAAAATGAAAGTATACCAATCTGTTATGCAAACAATATCTATTTTATGATTTAATTCTCTCTGTGAAATATCATACTTCAAAATGATAATGAAGCATTTATAATGAATTTATTTAACCTCCCGAAATTGTTTTATCTGGCATGTATACTTTGTTCTGCTTGTTCTTAAATATTGTTACTCGTTATGATTTCAAATGGTACCTGGGATTTGATATTCAAATATCATTAAAATAAAATATGTAATTTAATATATGTATTATGTATGCACATGTATGGGCCATGAACTGCAGGCATATACATTTACATTTAAAAGAAATTGTATAAATGCCAATGCTATGTTTATTCTTTTGTCGGGTATTGGAAGCGTTTTTTCATAAATGGAAAATTATATATATTCCCTCTTTTTGTCTCTGTATTTGCTTTCTTTTACCCAAATTTAATGCACAATTTTATCTATTCCTGTCTTTGTACCTTATCCCAAATTATAATTATTTGGTGTCTTGGTTGACTTACACAAAGTTTTAATTAACATTGTAACATTTTTCAAACGTGTTCGTGCTGTACATGTGTCTCGGACACCCACCCCCCCCCCCCCCCCAAGATGAAATAATCCTCAAGAATATAGATTTATTTTCAAGATGAAGAAACATTTGTCCTCCTAAATATCCTGGATGGGAAATTAGGGAATTTACACTGAAAATTGTCTGAAAATTGAGATTCTTATATATATGTATATATATATATATATATATATATGAGCTCATGAAATATTTGATATCAACAGAAATCCACATTGGAACATAGCGACGGTTCAAATGCCTGATGGCCAAGATTTTATCCGATATTCCCCAAAAAGGAAAATGTAAAGCGATTTATGAAAGTTGTCAATGTTTTTAGATCAATGTTATGAAGGACTTTAGATATACAGTTAAGAACTAAATTATTCATACCCTTACTAAGTTCTGTAACTTTTTATGTACATGTTTGGGAACTTGTGTGTGTCCTGATTTATGTTTCTTTAGAATGTGACATTGAATGCTCCAACATTGGCTCTGATGCCAGCTTCTTTAGGGCTCAATGTCATCAAAGCTAATAGTACATGTCAAGGGTTAGGGTAAGGTAAGGGTAAGGGTTAGGGTAAGGGTTAGGGTCACAGTTGGGCTTTAGGTTAGGTTCAAGGGTTAGAGGAAGGTTAAGTGTCGCGTTTGGTCCAAGATCGACGTCAAGAAATTGGTTAGTGTAGAATAACGGTTGTCGAGCAAAGCTCACCAGAGCATAATGTTGTCCAGTCACCGATAAATTAATCCCATCTTTTGCGTCCTTTTAGCTTCGAACCCTTGTGCCATCAACAACGGAGGCTGCGAACACACCTGTCTCAACATGGGTGATAGAGCCTTCTGCAACTGCAACACAGGTTACAGGTTAGCGCAAGATGGAAATAACTGTGAAGGTATGTACCACAGAGGGCCTTATATAATGTTCCTTGAATTTTAACCATTCAATCAAACTCGTTATTGTATGTTAAAGAAAGAAAAAACTTGTATAGACTAGACCTGGTCTAACATCCTATGTTAAGCTCGACTTTACATCAAACTTAAACCCAGCATTGGGTTCAAACTTTTAGCCATAATGAAATATCATATTTATATAGGGGATATCACAAATATTTTCCAATGTGCTGTATAAATGGAGAAAAGGAAAGAAAAGACAATCTATATTTGCCACTCTCCACCCAGGTGTAGTAAATGGGTACCCTGTAGAAAGAAATTTTTTCAATGCTCGATTGCCTTGTCATGGAAGCTGGGGTAATAATATGATCACAGGCAGGGGAAACAGTATTGATACTAATGAAGCTACCCTGTGTAAACAAGTTATATCATCATTAATATTATTAGTAGTATTAGAAGTATTAGTAGTATCATTAGCTTTAGGGAATAATTTTGTTGTTGACCTTTTTGAATTTTCATAGATATTGATGAGTGTGCTACCAGGAACCATGTATGTCAGCAGGAGTGCACCAACACTGTCGGATCATACAGATGTAGCTGCGTCACCAACTATATGCTGGAAACAAACGGCAGGACATGTAAACGTGAGTAGCATGCTGTGATTCTCACCGTCGTATCGCTTTGTATTTAAAGACGTAACGCATGAATGTTGGTATAGTCAAAAATGACCACCTATTCAAAAGCTTTTTCACAAAACATGACCCTCTTGATGCGTAAAAGACTCGGTGTAAAGCGCTTTATTGATACCGTTTTTTTAATTTTTTTATTATTATTATTATCTTCATTATTATTTATTATTGTTATCAAAATGGGCTCCAAATATGACCTTTTTGAGTACACATTCATCAAAAGTAATTTTAATAAAACAAATGATGCAAGTTTTCATTTGTTCATTACAAGATCTATCCACTCTTGCACTGTTGAGGCTGTTTATGCACTCGATCAGCCTGACAGTTTTGAACGATAGATGCATACAGCCTCAACTCAAGTGCAGATAGATCTTATAATGAACTGCACTCATTCGTTTGAATTATTTGTATGACAGGTTTAGATATTCATATATTTACACAGTATTTACATATCAATCTTTCATATGCGTCAGTATATTTAACTTTGAATTTACATATTTTTTATCATGGTGACACATTTACAGTGCAAGCGATCATCGACATCGAGCCCATCGACCCGTGTGAGAACCACCAATGCCAGTTCAACTGCACCATGAAATGGAACAGGCCTGTCTGCACCTGCCCTATAGGTTTCGAGCTCTCACCCGATCAAAGAAATTGCCAAGGTAAGGATATGAAGGATCAACGCTTTGGTGGTCATTCCTGTAATAAACGATATAATGAACGATGTAATAAACGATGTAATAAACGATGTAATAAACGATGTAATGAACGATGTAATAAAGGAATGTAATAGACAAAGTAATAAATGATATAATGAATGATGTAATAAACGATTTAATGAACTATGTAATGAACGATGTAATAAACGATTTAATAAACAATGTAACAAACAATGTAATACACAATGTAATAAACGATGTAATAAACGATGTATCAACTACTCTGAAGATTTCTTATAAAGATAATTCTTTTTTTCTTTCTTCAAATTTTAAATAAACAACAGTTTTCATAGAACTTGGCCTTTCTTCTTATATTTGATGTTGTAGATGATTCCAGAATATACAGTTAACAACTAAATCATTCATACTCTTACCCAAGTTTTGGCAATTTTTTAATGTATGTTAAAAATGTATTTGTCCCCATTTATATTTCTTGTGAAAATGACATAATGAAGCTTACATCTAAAAGTATTCAACAAAGGCCCTAAATCGGCTAGTCCCCCTTTCATTCTTGAGTTAAAGATAAACTTGAGTTCTGGTAATGCGATTGCATTGTGAAAGAAAAGGTGTGGAATGGATCAGAAAAGTTGATCATATAGCATGTAAGTAATGGTGTGTAATGCAAGGTTCTGGAGTCATCAAAATCATCATAAATTTGGCAGAGTCTTGGTAAAGTAACAATTACTTACACAGACAGATGTATATGGGACAACACACATGGTGTCGGGGCTAGTACTACCCTGATTTCCTTATCTTTCTATGCTCATTACTCAGCCAGTATACATTTACTTCCAAAATTGTTTGGCACATGACATTTATTTGTAAACTTGAACATTCAGTGTAAGTTTCGTTAGATTCTGTGAGAATTCATTTTCTTTTTTTTACCAGAACTCAAGTTTATCTTTAAATGCGAACAACCCCCAAAAACATCAAATTTACAAGGGGTATGAATAATTTACCGGTAGTTGTTAACTATATGTAATTTTCATAACATGATTTCATTTTCTATTGTTTGTTCTAGATAAAAACGAGTGTAACATCGGCCAGAGTTGCTGCGCGGCCACTCACCAGTGTATCAACACCGAGGGCAGCTATACCTGTCTCTGTCGTCCCGGATTCTTCCTAAGTGATGATGGATGCAGTTGTATCGGTAAGAGAAACTTTCAAATGAAATCAATATTTATTTTCATGCATTGTCTACCGTTTACAGCTGTATCGTTAAAAGAAACGTTTGATAAAATGCTATAAAACAACAAGCTTTCTAACTCGTGAAACGTTTGAAATTTTCATGCTGCGAAAAAAACAATTTGTGAAAGGTTTTGTTTTTACACTGTTAGGGGATCTTCTATTTTTATTTGTAAACCTCAGTCCTGGGTCATCATTGCATAAAACTTACCATCGATAGTAACTTTGGCATCACTATTAACTACCATGGCAACATCACTGGACAGCCAATTAATCAAATCATGGTTTCCATGGAAGTTGCAATTATTTGCAAAGTTTCCATCAATGCTAAGTTTTATGCAACTGGGGCCCTGGGTTATTCACGTTTGTTCTCTATTTGAACGTTGAATATTTTGTACAATGAAAAGGATTGATTTATATGGGTGCTTACTGTATTAGTAATCAATGGGTTCAGTAATCAATGAATAAACGGTGTTCTTTTATTTATTTCAGATGTTGACGAGTGTGCACAGCGTAGCAGTAACCAATGTGATCAGACATGCACCAATACGCAAGGGTCTTACCTGTGCGGATGCAACAATTCTTTCCAACTGGGCGACGACGGTTTCTCATGTCTTAGAAGTAAGTCTTTCTTCTCTTCATGGTCCGATATTATTCTTTATACAACTCACTCCTAATCATATGATTGGTCAAATGCAGTTACGTGTGATTCATTTACTGCGTCCATCCTACATTTTTTTTCTTCATGGAAAATGATTTTTTTTTGTTCTTGTTGTGTTTCAGAGAAGTTAGGAGTAAAAAGTTTTTGTTAAATTTGTTTGTCCTCGTCTCAAAATGTTAGTAATATTGTGCCCCCCTCTTTTACATAGTCCGGGATCTGCTCCTAACAATGTTTAATATTTTTTTGCTTATTTTGCATTGAAGGTTGGTTATTAAAATATAAACTTTGTTACGCATTGAATGTGAAATTATAAAGTGAGAATTTTGTTATTTTAAAATGTAGATTGATGAAGAATTGGAGCTTAATGTTTTAATTAATCAACCCCCTTCCTCCCCACCTACCTGGGGTTTTTCTTCCAAATACAGTGTTGCAGACACGCCCTACTCCGTCATCTCCCAGCTTCCAGTTCCCGCCTTTCCAAAACAGTGAGCTGAGTACGGGCCAGCTTGAGCAGGGACCGCAAACAAGCTGTAAGTATTAGTGAAACCTGTATATAAAGACCGCTCTGCAAGGGAAACATGAAATGTGGTCTTTATAGGCAGGTGGTCTTTATATATGATATTTTACTTAAGTATTTACATGATAAGAAAATACACAATATAGAATCATAATAATACGATTTAATAATATTAAAATGTCAGTTATTCATGAGTATGATACCAAGAAGGATATTGAAGTGGAATATCAAACAAATAAGAGGCGAAAATTGACTGATAAACCTGGCCTGGGATGTGAATTCCCACAGTGTCATCATGTATTACACACATGTATAACTATAACTTGTGAAGGTTGTGTGTTTTTCTCAATATAAATGCATGACTGTAACTCAACTTTATCTTTGTAGAGTACCAATAATTTCCCCTAACTAGGTTCATTTCTATCACTGAATTAGTTTGTAGAGAGGCTAACTTTGGACCTTAGTGCCAGTACTTGTATACCGATTGTTATTGAAATGTAAACGCACCTATGCAGAGTGAAAATATTCTTTGGTGATTAAACATCCTTTAAAGACACCGTTTAACAATGCTAAATCTGAGATACATGGCCCTTCGGGTTATCAGTGTCTGTGATATGATGTAATATTGAAGCCCAAGAAAAATGGGGCTTCAAAATGATCATGATCGAAATGCCTCAAAACAGTAAAAATCTTTGAGTGACAGGTTTTACCATACTCATTTTCCCCAATAAACCGTAGTGTTATAAAAACCATTAGGAAACAAATTCTTAAATTTCTAATTTCAATCATATATATCTTGATTATCAGACAAGCAATCGGCTTGTTAAAGTCATGGGGTTCCTGACTGACCTAAAGGTTTATAATTATCATTGCAGCATGAGCTAAATCCAGGATTTTGTTTCAGAATCTGAGACAAAGTTACCCAATCCTTTTAAGATTACCGATAACTGACGATCTGTGATTGTTCACACTATAACTAGCTTCGTTTCTTTCATTGAATCAGTCTGTCGGGAGGCTAACTTCGGACCTCAATGCCAGTACTCGTGTACTGACTGTATGAATGGGGCCAGCTGCAACCAAGATTTAACTGGGTGTGAATGTCTACCCGGCTGGCAGGGGACCATCTGCAACGAGAGTAAGTCAGAAATCTCCTTTCTCAGAAATTAGTTTCCTTCTTTTTTTTTATGATCGTAACGGCACTGGTAGACCTTACCAATACAATAAGGATATAAACTGTCTGCATGTATGATGTAAGAGTAACGATAAAAGTGTGACGTCACACCTGAGATCTGTTTCACAAAACCTTTTTTCAATGACAAATGACAAAAATCAGTGATAAATCTGCTGATGTCATTTGTCACTGATGACTAGTTTTGTGAAATGGGGCCCTGAATGTCGGTCAATCAAACACAAGGGACATTGCCCTTATAATATTTTTCTGAACTGAAGTCACATCGAAGGTGTAAACTTATTAGTTTCCAGATAGCATAGTTGCGGCCAGCGGGTCCTTTGAGAATCGATAGCCGAGCGATTCAAAAGAGACCATACAATCGCTGAGGGTGGTTTATTACCATAATTCTTTGAAGTCTTGACTTAGACCCTATCAAATTCATAGCTTGTGACAGTGACTCCCCCTTTGCCTATCTAACTTCTTTGGTGAGAACTGTCAGCAGCCATGTTCTTGTGAGAATGGCGGAACCTGTATTAAACTCCATCACTGATGATACAGCTACCCTCTCTGTATGATAGCTTTTGACAACAACCCTAACCACATTATAGCTTAAACAATGACTTCCCCTTTTCTTCCAATAGCTTGTCCATCCAACTTCTTTGGTGAGAATTGCCAGCAGCCATGTCTGTGTCAGAATGGAGGAACATGTAACCCTATCACTGGTGACTGCACCTGTCTGCCGGGTATTGAAGGTCCACGTTGCACTGAAGGTATGTGGACATCTTGAATTCAAAATCATATTTGTTTTAATTTAGCATTAAATCCTTAACTGTCAGGAGAAAATCACATTCTGCTGCCCTTTTCTTCTTTTTCTTTGTCTTCTACATCTTCTTCTTGTTGTTATTGTTGTTGTTCTTCTTCTCCTTCTTCTTTTCTTCTTTATTTCTTCTTCTCCTTCTCTTTCTTCTCCTTCTCTTTCTTCTCCTCCTTCTTCTCCTTCTTCTTCTTCATCTTCTTCTTCTTCTTCTTCTTCTTGTTCTTTTTCTTCTTCCTTTTTTTCTTCTTCTTCTTCATCTCCTTCTTTTCCTTGTTTGTATTTGCTTACATTGTCCGTTGAGAGCCAGAAGGGTCCTAAATCTAAAGTATATTCGTTAACCCTGGGTCTCAACCGATATGTTTATAAATCAAACTATCTTTGAACATAGCAGTCCTGATAATTCCCTGATTTAATTTTTTTTCTATCATGACTTTTTTCTCCCAAACCGGGTATTTCTTGAGATCGATGTAAATCTGGTTTAAAATTAGGAGTGCCTTTTATTCATGACTTGTTTGAACGCCGTGAAAAAGTGCTCAGATTTCTATAATTTCTTTTCTTCTAAATTCCTCCTATCACCACTGAAACATTGTTGATCATTGATTTTTTTTGTAGATGATATCACTACTTGATAAACATTTATCTCTCTATCATTTATTTCTTAAGGTTGCCCTCCCGGATTCTGGGGCAAGGACTGCGTCAAGGAATGCAACTGCCCGTCCGGTATCACGTGTAACGAGAGATGGGGAACCTGCCTGTGTAGGGCTGGCTACTTTGGACCTCACTGCAGCCAACGTAAGTCGTATTTCTTTGTCTGCTTTCAATTGTGTGTTGCCAATTTACTGTCAATAGACTTTGTTGTGACATTTTTGACACATTTCTATCATATATTGAATTTTTTCACCCAAGTCTTCTATATTATCCTCTTTTTCTTTTAGTACTTCCTTCATTCCCCTTCTTGTACTTTTAATTTTTTCCCCCCTGTTAGGCAATATTTTACTCAAATCTATCTTTCGATCCATTTCTTGTAATGCAATCCTCTCCATTTCCTAAAATTATAAATGCAATTAAATTTGTAGTTCAAGTTTTGTCTCCCTCAAATATATAAATTACTGTTAAGATTTGTTTATTACAAAATGTAACTATGTTTTGTATACATTTTACATTGTATTCGTTATTATGTATTGTATTTTGTTGGAAATGAAAAAATAAAAATGATTGAATGAATCCCATTGTTTGGAAAAAGTATAAGTGGCCACTATAGAGAGGTGGTCATTTTATACAGGGTTAAATATCATTCTCTCCATCTTCTAATCTTCCAGCGTGCCCCGCCTTCTACTACGGCAGCATGTGTAATGAGCAGTGTGACTGTCATCCGGTCCATTCCTTGGGATGCGATCCCGTAGAAGGTGCCTGTAGATGCAAGCCTGGATACGAAGGAGACAGGTGTCAAAACGGTGAGAACCTCACATCGATTGAAATTCAATATTACGTTTGAACAATCAAGCCTTTTCATTTGGTTTCAGAATGTCTGCTGAGAATCATATTGATGTTGACTAATAGCACTTAAAGTTGCTCAAGCGTGGGTATATAGAGGGGCAGCACACGGATGTATGCACAGGAGCGTGATACCCGTTGGCTCAGTGTTATGTAGTGATCGCCAAGTTGCCTACTTCATGAACGACTATATACCCACGCATGAACTTCGTTAAAATAAGTTTCCTTCTTGCTCTCAGGAGCCAATGTGTTATAAACCCCTCAAAAAAATTTGAAAACTTGAGTTTGATTGATTTTTATCTCTTTTGTTATTGCATAATCATCACTATGTTTAGTCTAATTATAAAGCATGTTTATTTCTATTCAAAATTGTACCTAATAATTATCAGCTACATGTATGTAATATCTTAAAGACGTTCAAAAATTTCTTATTTATGCGCTGTTCTTACTATCTATTATATCTCAATTTTACCCACTGAATTTTATTATCTGTAAACAATTTTTTTACATGGTGATTAAATAAAACAAACAAACAAACTGTGTAATTCCAGATTATTATTATTATTATCATTATTATTACATCTTCTCTTTCTTCCTGTGTTGCAGAATGTCGTCTTGGGATGTATGGTGAGCAGTGCAGGCATGTCTGCCAGTGCCTAGACGCCTCCATGTGTAACAAGGTGAACGGAGAATGCAGCAGGGAATGCTCGGCAGGGTACACAGGAGAAGCCTGCGAAAGATGTGAGTTTTGTCGAGACACGGTGTAGATATGGTATACTGATTGGTTCATTTTCTCTTTACTCAAGAAAGATGTGAGTAGACTTTTGTTGAGGCATTTGTAGCATTTAAAACGGAGGCTCATTTGCTCTTTATTATTGGTAGGCAGGAGAGGCCTGTGAAAGATGAGAGGAGATTTTTGTTGAGACACTGTGTAGATTTGGTTACCAGTGGTTTATGTTCTCATTAATTGAGAAAGATGGGAGAGGCGTGTGAGAGATACGAGTAGACTTTTGTTGGGACACTGTGTCGATATGGTGTATCGAGTGGCTTATACCTTTGAAAGATGTGAGTAGATTTTGTTAGGACACTTTGTACAGTAGCACTTGAAAAGTAATATAGTGAATCAAACTTCGTCTTTCAATGTAGTTACCCAAAAGAAGCTTGTAAAAGATGTGAATAGATTTGTATTGGAACGCTGTAGCATTAAACTGGAAAAGCAATAAAGTAGTGCTACGCACATGACTTTCAAGGGAGTTATGCAAAACATGCTTATGAAAGATGTAAATAGACTTTTGTTGGGACACTGTATAGCATAGTGTTGGAAAAGGGGTCTAGAAGCGGTTCTTTTGATTGTCTTTGTATTTAGCAGGAGAATTTCTCAAATATATTCAAAGAAATTTTGATTTGATTTAATATCTTAATGTCTATCTCCTGCCTGTAAATATATTGGTGTCAATATTTTATTTACAGCTTGATAAAATAGTCGAAACGATTAAAATAATTTGACTTTTGACTTTCCATCTTTTGCAGCTTGTGACTTTGGAAGCTACGGAGTGAACTGCAAGTTCACCTGCCGATGTGGAGGAAACGATTGTAACAGCATCACTGGAGAATGCTTCTGTGAGGCTGGCAAGACCGGGACTAGCTGTCTGGACGGTAAGGATTGCATCGTCTAGTGGTAGTGTCACCATGGTGATAGAGATCAAGTTGATGATAGATTTAACGGTATTGAGAAGTTGCCCTACCATGTATTAATTCAATAGACACTGTACGATATGATATGATATGATATGATATAATATATGATAGATTTTTTTTCAATCATAATATGTTATGTTAAATCTAGTTGAACTGACCCCTTTCACGTACATGTACATGACCTTTACAGATGACCTTTCGCTTACCACTTTCTGGTAGGAGGGAGAAACTAGGGGCGCTGAAAACAAAAGTGAATTCTATTACATTATTAGCTTATTTAACATTCTGTGAGGGATCATAGTGACTGAATTAGAAAAATAAATGAAATTTGAAGTAGTGGAACATGACATTTAAATGGATTAGAGCACTATTACCATGTTACTCTATCAAATTATCATGTATTCTTTCCTCTTTTTTTCTTTGGGGGCAATTTTTCACGATAAATCATGATGTGCCACCTGGGGAACTCCAGACTAGTGAGCCCATGCCCCCCGGCAGTCTTGGCTGTGCCACTTGAGGAATATAGGGTGCATTCAAGCAATTCTTTGAAGCTAGAATCACAAACATGAATCACACATGAAAACGCTGTTAAAAAACATGTTTGTTTTGTTAACTCGTTTATTTTTATGACCAACAAAAAATCGCTTAAAATTGCTTGAACGCAACTATGTTTTAAACTAAAATTATGTTAAAACCGTGTTTCTAGGGTGAAAAAGTGTCGCTTGAATGCACCCATAGTCTAACTGTAATGTCTTGTAACACTAATTTGATCAACCTAATAACTTGATTACCTAATTGTAGATTGCCCCGATGGTACCTGGGGTATCTCCTGCAGGAGCAACTGTACCTGTACCGAGGATAAGGTCTGCGACAAGACTACTGGAGAGTGTCTGTGCCCACTTGGATACTTTGGAGAAAACTGCAGGGATCGTAAGTACCTTAGAGGAAAACAGTCATCACCAAATACATTGCTTTCAACACTTTTTCTTCTTTTGGGATACCATGTTACGAGCATTTTGCTTTTCGGTGTTCCTAGCCATAATTTTATTTACTGTTATAAATTGATAAACTGTTATTGTTTTCATTTATAAACAATACAAATACAATAAAAAGGCAGAAAGTTATCAAAAAGAAGGTTCAAGCAAAATCAGACAACTGTTAAAAAAGCTATGAACTTTTTAATGTCATGAAGTTCGCTATCTAACAGAGACAAGCAGGCAAATCTGTCATGAGGCTCTGATGTCATAGGCTACCTATTCACCAACTGTTGTGTATGGTTTTAACTTCCTTATTTTTTACTTTTTTTTTCCATGGAACTGATTTCTTTGTGCCTTTGCCCATGTTAAATTAAGGACAAAATGTATCCACCTACATGATGGAATTAGTTTTCTTTCAAAACACCAAACAAGCAGGATATTTGTGATAAGTTGTTGCATTCATAACTATTCATTACGCCTTTATTCAAAATTGCTTTTGATGATTAACCTACTCTGTTCACATTGATGTATATTTCATATGTATTGTAATTTGTAGGATAATTTGCATTTGTTTTGTTTTGTTCAATATGTCATTGTTTGTCATTGTATTTTGTTTGTTATAGCACCAATAGAGACTTCGGTGGTAAGCGCTTTATAAGCATCGTTTTTATTATTATTATTATTTGTTAGAATCCTCTGTTTTTTTTAATTCCAGCTTGCCCCAGCGGTCGCTATGGTCTGATGTGTCGTCACGATTGCCAGTGTCAGAACGGAGCCGAATGTAACTCAGAGTCAGGAGACTGTACCTGCACACCGGGATGGAAGGGACAGTTCTGTACAGATGGTGAGTGTTTAACCCAGTGACTGCCAAATTCCCTTATTTTCATAGGTTTAATACATGAACCATCAGTTTGTGGAGACCATTGGTTAAAACAAAGAGTGTGTGTGTGTTTAGTCAGGTTTTTACATCATGTGTATCATTCAGATACGTTTATTTAGGTCTTTGGACCGACCTTTAGCGTCATCTGAAAGACGTGACTCACGGTCGAACCGGGTCGCCTGAGTCAATTTGAAGGCAAAGACAGAGACCTGACCAAGTGAACGTACCGCTAGACCAACTCACATCTTCCTCGATCATTTGCAATCATAAAATATTGTCGTGCTACTGTGATTCTTAAACAGTGGTATTAACTATACATGTATGAGATGGATCTCTAGCAGAAAGTTTGATTTGATTTCTCCAAATTGTATAACTTATGAATAATTTTTTTAAAAGATAATGTTATTGTGGTTTTCTTTTCATTCTTACCAATAAAAAACAGAATGATGTATTCAGTTCTAACTATTTGAGATGTACACATTACATTTGAAACACAGACTAAATACGTTAATGTAGTATCATTTAGTGTCTTTGATGTATAACAGTGAATACTATTCTTCTTTAGTTGTGGTTACAGGGTGCATTTGTTGTAGTTTGACTGTAAGCAAAACAAACAATAAATGTTTAAGTCATAATCAAAATTTTGGAATGAGATTAAGGAATATTTTCCTGTGTTTTGACCATCCATCTTACTCTGCTTATCTTTCAGAATGCCCTGTTGGTTTCTATGGTGTCGGCTGTGCAACGAGATGCACATGTGAGAACAGTGCAGGATGCGATCCGGAGACGGGAGAGTGCATCTGTACTCCTGGATGGAGAGGAGAACAGTGTGACCAAGGTACAAACTAATAGTCAATATTTTAAATACGTTGATCTTCAAACACAAAGTGAATGAGTGTAGAGGTGTTGTTGTCGAGTGGATATGTCACCGGACTGTCGATCACAAGGTCTGCGGTTCGAGTCCCGCCGCAGCACTAATGTCCTTTGGCAAGACATTGCCACATCTATATTTGCCACATTCAACCCAGGTGATGTAAATGGGTACCTGGCAGCAATGATTTCCTTGAAATGCTAGAGCGCCATAATGGCAGCCGTGCTATTAAAAGCCAGGGTAATAATCAGGAGCGCCAGGAGTGTCAGGTCTGACAGATATGAGCGTTATACAAGAACCCACTATTATTATTAATATGCATCATTTTAATAAATGTATAAGAAAAGACTAGGGCCTAAGAAATAAATGAAAGAGAGTTATTTTTTTTGTTCAGAAGGTCTGGTATGTTCGACTCTCTATTCTTAAGGTCAACTTTCCTAGCATTCATATCCCGCCATTACCACCATGTCAGTAGTGAAATAGTCACCAGTCATGTCTATTGCATAGATACATATCCCACCGCTGTCATCCCCACAGTAAGGACAACACTTCAATCAAATGCAAATGTTTGCAATAATTTTTTTTTCTTTGGGAAGGGGGCGCGGTGGTCTTCTAGTTTAAACAGAAAATTCTGTGAAGTTATAATTTGTCATTACAGACATCTGACTTCATTCTGCAGCTGATCCTTAGTTAGAATTTAGTTTAAGTATTGTCACAAGTCAACTTTATTCCTTATTATACAAAATTTTCAGTGCCTTGTCATCAGGTAATCACAGATTTGGTTGCAATGCTCACTGAGCTTTGATGAAGGCAAGGAATGAGAATATTTCTAACCACAAATATATATTTTTTTCTCTCTTCAGCTTGTGAGCCAGGCTTCTATGGTGTAAACTGTGAGAACCTGTGTATGTGTCTCAACAATGCAACCTGTGATCATATCAGCGGAACATGCACATGCGCACCAGGATGGAGAGACAGATTCTGTGCTAAACGTAAGTTATCTACTTAAAACATACAAACATAAAAGTCATGAGGCACATTTATACCAAAAACCATTTGAAAAAAATGTAGGTATAAAGGAGAATACACTTTAAAAGTAACAAGCAATTTCCTTTAAGCTATACTTCATACTCTCAATTTGTATTATAATTCAAAAGGGAAATTTGTGTAAATATAGGTTATCAACTGTATGTACAGTCTTTCTTATGATACCAAATACCATGATAGTTTTAGTAACAAGAGAGATAAATAAAATATTAATTGATTTTCCACCATTTTCAAAAGTTCTGTAAAAAATGATGTCATATCTAAATTCTGAAGAGGAATATTTGATTTGATTTGATTTGATTTGATTTATTGGTTTCTGCATCTTTTTTTTCTTTTTTCATCATACATTTTCATGAACATAATATGGTTTGATACAATATTTTAAGTGTATATATTGTAAGTAGACAGTGCATGGAACATATGCGATTTCAGGTAGGACATATTTAATGCATACCCTTAATTTCTAGTGAGCATAGCAGTGAAAGGTAGAGGTCAGTATGGCTACTTCATAGATGGTTTTCACTCCGGAATAATGTAAATAAGGTACAATTCTACACATTATTAAATACCTATGTAACGTGGGAAGGAATTCCTTGAATTCTGTGAGCACTGAAATCGGTAGCTTAGCAGAGCCGGGGTAATATTGGAGCGCTTTGAGCACCTTGCAGGGTGGATATGTGTGCTATATAAATTTCTAATATTATTATTATTATTATTAACATTTGTATGTTTCTCCTTCTTAGCCTGCCCTGATGGTTACTACGGTTTAGACTGTCGTCATCGCTGTAGCTGCGGTAACGGAGCCCATTGTAACGCTACCAACGGACACTGTAACTGCCCTGCTGGATACACAGGACAAGGATGTAGAGACGGTGGGTCTGGTAGTCATTAGCATTTGATAATGACTGGTCGTTATCAAAATTACGTGTTAGGCAAAATAAATGCCTGGTCATGTGTACGATCTCAACCAATCATTTCATTAGGATCCACGTCATCATCTTATAATTAAGACTGAGCCTGAATAACCTGGCTTCAAAGCATTAAGACATTGATAAAGTGACCAGTGGGATAAAATGCAACTTTCATAAGATGTTAATTTCCATTCTATTGCCTAAATAATGATTATTCTGTCTTTATTCCAATGATTTCATAAGTTATTATGATAAAATACCCTTTCAAGCCTTATCATTTTTTTCCCTCCTAGATGAAATAGATTTCTTTTTAGTTGATCCAATTTGATACAACAATTTCAATCATATCGTTGTAAACATGTCAGAAAATACTTAAGTTGCTGCAGTAAATGTTTTGCTTGAAAAGAGGTTAAACTGTTTTTTGGTAGGGTAAAATAGCGTAAGATCATGTGTATATATGTTCTCGTTGTAAATTTATGTACGATATGTCCTGCAAGTTTTGAAAGACTCTGAGAAAGATGTATCCATCCCAGTGATTGAATCAAGACCACAATGATTGCCTAAATCATTGTTTAATCAATTCTTATCGATATACAGAATGTCCTGAAGGTCATTTTGGTGAAGACTGCCGAGGTACATGTAACTGTGCTAACGATGCTGAATGCGATCACGTCAGTGGAAGGTGTATCTGCCCCAGCGGTTGGATCGGAGTCAGGTGCCATCAACGTAAGTTTGCAACTATTCCATTCAAGTTTCTCCTTGTGGTTCACTCAATTCACTCTGTTTGTTTCCTTGTTCATTGAATTTTGCCTTGCTTTTGTCATTCATTCATTCAACCTACCTTTTCTCAACCTTTCTCTTCTTTCTTGTTTTACTGTTTTTGTCTGGCCCTTCCCCCTCTCTTTCTCTTCCTCTTCCTCTTTCTTTCTCTCTCTCTCGCTCTCTCTTTATATTCCTTCCCTCTATTTCTCTTTATTCTGTTTCTCTGTGTCTCTCTGTCTCTCTATATTTCTTCCTCTATTTCTCTTTCTGTCTGTCTGTCTGTCTGTCTCTCTATCCCTTCTTAATCTCTCTGTCTCGCTGTCATTTTACCCTCTGTCTTTCTCTTTCTCTTTCCTTTCCATCTCTCTTCTATCCCCCTCTCCCCCTCCATCTCTCTCCTCTTTTTCTTCATTGTGTTATTTGCCATCTCTCTCGCCCTCTGACATCCAAGAAATTGGATCAAATTAAATTAAATTAATACTTTTTCCAATAAAATTTCATGTTCACGGCCTTCGGAATAAAAAAAAAAGTCTATCCCCACACTTTGGTTGTTTTATTTTTTTCTTGTATATCTCATCGTTAGTATCTTCTTTCTTTTTTAAAATCTATGACATTCTTGATTCTTGTTTCCCTGTACAGAATGCCAGCCCGGTCGCTATGGTATCAACTGCCAGCAGCGTTGCATCTGCCAGAACGGACTCTGTGATCATGTGACTGGGATGTGCGCCTGTGCGGCCGGATGGGTGGGACGTGCCTGCCAGCAACGTAAGCAATCAGTCCATCAAGTATTATAATAAAAAAAATGAAACAAAAACAAATGGTTATGCATGTATCAGTTATCAAAAAAATTATATTGATGAGACTTACTGCCTAGTTAACTATCATGATAATTTTTGTTGTAATCTATTTTCTTCTGGGGTGGTGATGTCCTTCTGATGTACTGGTATTTTGAAAGTTCTTCAGGTTGTTGAGAATACAAATATCTCTTTTGAAATGGCTGAGAGGAAGATAGAGAATATAAGTAACAACTTTCTTTAAAGAGAGGGGGCCAGTAAGACAGGTTTAATTGTATCTTGATTTATCATGTTTATCTATTTATATTTGTTTACAGCTTGTGCACCAGGACACTTTGGCATCGGCTGTCTGCAGTCATGTTCTTGTCAGAATGGAGGAAACTGTGATAAAGTCAATGGAACATGTTCATGCGCACCAGGATGGCACGGAGATGTCTGTGAACTGGGCAAGTTTCTTGGTAGAGAGGTCATGTAGGGGTCAAGGGTCACGGTATAGGTGTCAAAGTATAGAGGTCAGGATGTTCAAACAAAAGAATGTGATAAAGTCAAGGGAGCATGTGTTCATCGATGGCACAGAGACAACTGTGAACTGGGTAATTAGTAGGTATAGGGGTCAGTGGGTCATGGGGTAGGGGTCAGTGGACAGGGTGTAGGGGTCATGGTGTAGGGTTCAGGCTGTAAAGGTCAAGATGCAGAGGTCAGCGTGTAGGGGTCAGGGTGCACAGATCAAAATAGGGGGCTCAGGTTGTAGGGGTCAGGTTATTGGGGTTTTGTATTCTCCATTTTATTCAATGGTTTCACAAAGGATCATTCCTGTTTCAGACTCTAAACATGATGAAACAAAACAAAAACAGGTGTCTTCTACTCTGATTATTTGTTTCATCGTTTGTTTGTTTTAACAGCTTGCTTTTCTGGTTACCATGGTGTCAACTGTGAAGAGAGATGTCAGTGCCAAAATGGAGGTCAATGTGATGCACAGACTGGTGCATGTACATGCACTAATGGCTGGAGAGGAAGGCTATGTGAAAAACGTGAGTATTACAAAAAGAGATATGGTCACCACTCTCTTGGTACATCTATGTTTTCCAGTACTGTAGAGATAGACTGGTAAATGTTACATGTACCATTACAATGGCTATTGAGGAAGGCTATGTCCAAAACATGAGTATTATACATAAGAAGTGGTCACCACTCTTTCTTTTTACATGTATATATCCTATGTTCTAGTGATTAACTCCAAGATACATGTAGACTGGTAAATGTAACAATTCTAACGGGTGACGTGGATGGCTATGTTGAAAACATGAGTATTGCGGATGAAAATGATCTCCACTCTTCTTGTTACAAAAAAATAATTACCATTGATTAGCTTTAAGATAGACTTAGTGAATGTTACTATACTAATGGCTGAAGAGAGAGGCTATCTGCGCAAACTGGGTATACACTTACATGAGAATTGGTCACTTTCACTTGGCATACTATTTTCCAGTGATTGACAAACCCTTAAAATAGACTGGTTAATATTCTTAAAATTAAGGTTTGGAACAAAGAAACATTTTACGAATGACCCAAGTTTAAAATTCCAAGTAAGGATAGAGTTTGAAATTTTGTCACTATTTTGCTATCTTCATAAGATAGCTCCTTTAGAAGATATCTGCTTCCATTCTGAGGATTTAATACTGAAAATATTCATAAATATTGGATGTAAAAGCTAGAAAGGGGTTTGGAATTAGTATAAAAGAATAAAGATCTGAATGTTGAAACAAGGTGTTTTCTTTACACTTCTTCTATATCTACTGGAGATGTGTAGTACAATTTCATGGTGTTTCTAAACTTGCTGGAACTTAATTCAATGTTTAATAAAACTTAAACAAGACAAAGCAGTGCATTACCAACATCGGTACAGTAATAATGTTGCAATTATTAAATGATGTACATACTTCATTAGTGAACATATACATTGCATCATTATCAATGAATTGTAGAAATAGAAAGGAATCAAGATCAACTCATTCCTAATAATAATGACATACTGTACTTATATAGCGCATATCACAATATGTCTCTATGCGCTGTGAGAAAGAGTAAGAAGGAAAGGTGGATAGATTGAGTAACATAAGAAGAATGAGATATGCTCAACATATTTCCTCTCGTTAACATGGGTAAGTATTTTTGAAAAGAAATGTTCTACCATCGAAGCTGAACTAGAAGGACATGTATAACCTATCTTCCAATCCCTTACCCCTCTTATAATCTGTTACCCCCTCTCATGTTCTCTATTCCAGCTTGCATCCCTGGTACCTATGGCAGCCAGTGCTCAGAGACCTGTGGCTGTGGAGCTGAGAACCCCTGTGATCACATCACCGGAGCTTGCAGGTGTCCTCCGGGCTTCGCTGGATATGAATGCAACTCACGTGAGTATCGGCCAACGATCCCTGCCAACCATTTCTATTTTGGAGGAATGATTCCTATTTTGGGGTCTTCAGGCTATTGTTTTTAACCCTAAATTCCTCTCTTTATCTAAAATATTCTGTGTGAAAAGTGTGCGAGAAAGACTGTATTTCTAATTTTGTGTTGAGAGATTTCGAATTTTTGTTGTGAAAGGTTGGCAGGTCTGTATGTCTGAATAAGTCCATGTCCTAGTACAAAGAGAAAAGAGGAAGAAATATAGAGACGAGAGAGATAGAGAGAGGAAGAGAGAGAGAGAGAGAGAGAGAGGGAGGGGGAAAAAGGGGGGGGGGGGGCATGGATAAAATTTAAGGCAGATGTGATTGGGTGAGAGAGAGTGGGGATAAGAAAAGAGTAAGTGGGAGATTACAGATTTTTAAGGAAGGGGGGGGGGGGGGGGTACTAAAACAAAATTATACATGCACCACATTTGCTTAGTTAACAACTTTGGGAAATTTCAAACCAGTTAAATTAATAACTGCAGGGATAAAGAAAATGTAGGACTTTGTGTCTAATCATGTGCCAGAAGTATAGAAATATTACCATTCATCATTTTACTCTGCTTTGGGGTTTATTTTCACAGCTTGTCCACCCGGAACGTGGGGCCAGGATTGTGCCGAGGCCTGTACCTGCGGACGCAACACAATCTGTAATTCAGTGACCGGGGACTGCCAGTGTAAACCAGGCTTCAGAGGACACAACTGTGAAAAGGGTAAGTGATTATTTTTATTGCAATGGCTCTGTGTCATGGGTTTGAAACCAAGTTGCTGCACTAGTGCCCGTTGGTAACGCATTAATCCTTATTACCAAGTCCCTCAGAGAGGACCTAAAGCCGTTAGTCCCCTGGCTGCTTACTTAAAAGCTGTCATGCTTTCTTAGCAGTCAGGTAAAACAATCAAACAAAGAGCAACATAAATGGTTGAGCTGATGACAAAAGCAGGTGCATACAATAATTTCATCTCTGTATGCCAAAGAAAGTCCTAAGAAAAGAATCTATTTTGTAAAGAGCACATCTACTCACATTGATAGAAGATTTTCATTCATAATTTTTTTTTGTATTGATTAAATGTTGTTTAGCATGTACATATCGTCTTATTATTTTGTTATTTTGTTACATCTCAGGAAATATACAAATGTTTACTCAGTGTTCAGAAATAATAACATCAATTTAAAGAGTGATATATGAAAACGGAACAAACTGTAACACAGTGTCAAGATTGATATGAAAATCAGAGCACACTGACATCACAATAATCTGTCAGCCTCAAAAACATGTAGAAGTCAACAGTGTATTCATGATATATGAGACAATGCTAATATTTAGAAATTACTTTTGTATGATCCCCACTTTATAGATTGCAAGCATGGTCGTTACGGACCAGACTGCCAGCACCATTGCAGCTGTCTGAATGGAGGATCTTGCCATATGGATGATGGAACGTGTCTGTGCCAGTCAGGTTTCATCGGTGCACTCTGTGAAAGAGGTAAGATATCAACCCCCTTCTTCACCTCTCCCTCAACTGCCTCCTTCCTAATACTGAAGTGGTTTATCTACCGTATGTTGAATTGTCTTCCCCCACATTCCTCCCCATTCATTGTATGTAAATGTGCTGATAAGCAGAAGCAAAGATGATGATGATTGATGATGATTGATGATGATTGATGATGATTATCGTCCCTATTTTCACGAAGTGAGGAAAATCGTAACGCAAAGTGAATGCAATTTTTTTTCACTACCGTCACTTCGTGAAAACAGCGACGTTATAATGATTGGTATAATATTAATAATAGTGTATAACCAATATTTGTAACCCCCCATTGTAGATTGTAGTTATAATCTATTTTATGATTGACATTTTAAAGAAAAGATACAGACAATGATGAAAAAATACAGTAGGAACACTCGTACAGAATGTTGTGAGTACCGGTATGAGGATGCACTTGATAGAGACACATTTCATACTTCATATGTTTCAATGAATAAATCAACCAAAATTAGTTTTTGTTTGCACCCTTCTTCCTGGAATGTAATGAAACATCCATGTTCATCATGTATTCAAGCTCCCTGTTAATTGGTAATATATACGCATAATGAGAGTCAACATTCATGTAACATCCTCTTTTGATTGGTTTTATCTTTCAGCTTGCCCCGACGGACTGTATGGCCAGGACTGTCAGCATAAATGCCTCTGCCAGAACGGAGGTGACTGCCACCACGCTTCAGGGGTGTGCGAATGCTCCCCCGGATACACCGGCACCTTCTGTGCTACAAGTGAGTATGCATGATCCAGCTATTATATTAAACAGATGTATGTGCACCATCTTTTTGTCTTAGGTGTTTAGTTGGCTTCCTTCAACCTTGAAGATTCTTGCAGAACTTTATGAGATAGTTTGTGTCCATCAAATTTATATATCATTAAACCATATCTTTTAGAATACTTTTTGGAAAACCTAGAACCTTGCAAAGCCAATCGTATTAGAGTTTCCATGTATTGTACTATCGGGCCTATCGGTGCATGTACCAATAATTGACAAGGTGCAAGTAAAATCAGTCTTGGATTATCCAATACCCCAGTATAAGCATGATAGGTCAGAGTTCAATCTTAGAGGGGTACAAAAATGAGTACAGTGCACTTTTTGTATTGCATAGGTTGTTTTTCAATTGTTGGGATGCAGGGTATTTAGGGAGGATAAAAAAGAGAATGGGTTTTCAATACCATATATATGTATTAACACAGTGCTTTGAACAACGCAATTATTGATTTTGTCTTATCATTTTGTGAAGGATCATGTACCTATAAGTTCCATAACTTTTTGATGATCCAACCACCTTTCCTTTTGTGTATTTTTTATTTTATTGTCTGATCCATATTTTTAAGAAATATTGCTATTGTATTCTTTGACTTTGCATGTTTTTATGAAAGTAGTGAATAAATTGAATTCAATGATATATACATGTAAATGATGATGGGAGCACCAGGAGTGTCACTTATGACAGACATGAATGCTATACAAGAACCCACTATTATTATTATTATTATTAAATATAATCTTTTTCAAATTTTTTGCTTTTTTCCTTTCAGAATGTGCATTGGGTACGTACGGCCCAGACTGTTCGCAGGTCAAGGACTGCCAGTTTGGTGGAGTGCTAGATGTGATCACAGGAGAGTGCCAATGTGGGCTTGGATATACAGGGGAGATTTGTGATGAAGGTATGTATAGCCAACACCTTTTCTTAAAGTAGTCACCCACAGAATCAAAAGTGTTTTGAATTGATGCAAACTTTCCATGATATCCATATAATTTTTTTCTTCATGTTTTCAAGAGAAAATCTTTCCATCCATATATAATTTGTCCATAATTATCACTTGTCGTCAACTTTCTTCGGGTGACTACTTTGACTCTAAACTTTGACCCTGAACTGTGAATAGGAATGTACTTGTGAAAACAGGACCAAAAATGGGATAATCATCGTAACAATGACACAAAAACATATTTCTGGTATCTACCAATACAGACATTACAGTGCCGGTCTGTGTGATGATATTAATCAACCATAACTATTGCCATTTTTTCCTTATTTTACAGAGTGTCCATGGGGAACGTACGGTATGAACTGCGAACAGGAATGTACTTGTGAAAACGGGGCCGAGTGTGATAGGATGTCCGGATGCTGCTCGTGTACTCCCGGTTTCTACGGACAAAACTGTCAATTTTGTAAGTTCAGCAAACTTTGTTTTTCCACTTTTTAAGGAATATATTCCCCTGACTCAACGAGCACGGAGTTTTTTTGTTTAGTTTTGGAAGATATAAACATGACTTTTTTATTGTTACACATCGGTCATTTTTCTTAAAGGTCAGTGAGTCAGTTTCAAGTGGAGGAATATTCACAACACTTTAATTCCCCCTACATATCCTCTTTTGTTGTTGAAACCAGAGGAAAACAGATTTCACTTGAAATCTTATGGTTATATATACCGGTATATGTTTCATTGATAGGCATCATATTTTGGACCCTCTTAGGTGCTGTTGACAAAGGGCCATCCAAAATGTTAGCATTAGAAATCCTCATTTGAACTCTATATTTATTACCCCACTACTTTCCCCTTTATTTTTCGAAAAGTCTAATGGGAATGAATTTGAATTTATTCTCCTAATAAAACTGGTCCCCCCCCCACAATGATGCTGGTGCCCCCTTAATTAATTATATCTGATAGCAAACATTATTCTTATTATTGTTATTGTTAGCTTCGATATTGATGAAACCATTAATCTTATTTATTTTTTTGATTTGTGTTATTTACAGCATGCCCAGCGGGTACCTACGGTTCTTATTGCGGCCGTATCTGTGATTGTCATAAAGACGCTACATGCGACACAGTGACCGGTCAATGTAGGTGTCCAGCAGGCAGAACTGGACCGGAATGCAAGCAGAGTAAGTAGACATGAAAACACTGTCTCTAATATGGAAACTTTTTGAAAATTTAATCACCTGTAAAAAAAAAAAAAAAATTGTGATTAGCTAGAATGTATAAAATCAACCCCCCCCCCAAAAAAAAAAAGAGAAGAAGATTGCCTCACATTCTACAGGTATATAGAGATAGGGAGTATAAAGAAAATTAGGGAGATATAATAGAGCAGTGCATACAGGGCGCGCAAGTTGAACCTATGCTATGCGAGTGTGTGTGCATGTATTTACTAGTTTACTCAACAAGACGTCTGTCTGTTTCCTGAGTGTATATTTTAACTGCAATATCTCTAAAAATAATGAAAATAAATGAAGAAAAGAATAAGAAAAGAAAGAAGAATGAAGGAAGGAAGGATGGAGGGAGTAAGAAGGTAAATGGGGAGGAGAAGTAAAAGGATGAATATACCTGCATTTATTATTATCCATGTTTTTCTTTTCTTTTTTCACCAGCCTGCCAACCTGGGTTCCACGGTCCAAACTGCATTCATGTCTGTGCCTGCTCTAACAGGACACAGTGCAACGCAGTCGCAGGTACCTGTGATTGCCCCCCTGGAAATACAGGGGATACCTGCACTGAAGGTATGTACAAAGGGTCAGGCTTCAGAGGGAGTGAGTAAGGTTATTGGAATAGCATGTGGCTATGAAATACTTGTATGTGGTCAAAGTAAAAGTTATAATGATTCTACTGTGATATATTTTTAGCTTTGCTTGTTCTCTACATTTTCCACTCTCCAACCAGGTGTAGTAAATGGTTACCTGGTAGGAATTAGTTCCTTGAATGCCTTTAGCACCTTGGGGCAGCTGGGCCATAAAGCCTGGGTAATAATAGAATTTTGTAAGTGCCTCGAACTTCCCCTTGAATAAATACATGTATGTGTGCAGTATAGATGTAGCTATTATTGGCTATGACAAATTCTAATATCCTTGGATTTCTGTTTATTGGAATATATGAGCTGTGCATACAAATTTGTTTATGAAATGGAAATTCAAAATTACTTGTATACTGATTTGATTGCAAATTGTTAAAGAAAAGCTTGCTAGTTTACACCTAATGTATGTATGAACACACCCACTGATGATGTAACGTTTTCAATGTATTCTGCATGGCCTTCTTCATACACACAGAGTGCATATACCAGGCAAATTTGGTCCAAACTGCTCTCTCAACGAGACTGTTCAAAAATTTGTTAATTTACATATATGTATGTATGAACACTGCCCATTGTTGATGTCATGTATTCTGTATGGCCTTGTTCACACACACAGAGTGCGCACCAGGAAAGTTTGGTCCAAACTGTGCTTTCAACTGTGACTGTTCAAACGGTGCTACCTGTGACCCGAGGACGGGATCTTGTAGATGTATAAATAACTTTATTGGTGCTCAATGTGAACATGGTAAGTCATTTCTCTTTACCTCAATGAGATTTCATTACTCTGTATTCAGATAATTCTGTTAAAAATAACAGGTGATTTAAAATTGTTTTGTATCATCTATAGCAGGGGCTTCTCAAAGCCTGGACCACCTGGAAGGCTCTGTTTAAAAAAAAAAAAATATTATTGTAACTATTCCCATTGGATCAGATAAAGACCTAAAACAAGCATCATTTTCTTCAGTATTACAAATGTCAGTACTGTAAATTTTAGGATTAGATTGTTCCGAAACAAATGGCATCCCATGTTTTGGATTATGTAATAAATGAAAATGAAAAAAAGAATCTAATTTTGTTGTTCTTTTTCTTTCAAGTCATCTAATGTATTGATTTTCTTTCTAATTCTAAACTAGGTGGTTTGTATGCTTTTCCCACACCGTCAACGCCGCTCAGAGGTGACATAGGACCCAACGGATTCTAACAAAAAACACTTCTGAAATACAGACTCTGGAAATAAAAAACTAAAAATCCAATCATGCAAGCAGCAACAGCAGCATTGACACACCTAACAAGCTTTTGTCGTTTGTCTGGACGATTCCAGCTCTTAACGAACGGGAGGCGAGGATAGCTAGAGCAGGAGACGTCTTCAATCAGAGTCGGATGAATGAATATTCATGATCCAGGAGGTCAACTCAGGTCACCATTTACACATTTGGTCACAAGAAGGCAGCATTTGACTCTTCTCATCAGACCATACTTTAAGGAGAATCGATTTTGGAGCTTTCAACAGTAGCAACCACAGCTAGATCATGCATCTCATCTAAAAAAATGGAGAAAGTTTTTTTTTTCCAGAGTGTTTTTTTAGAACGTTGATACTTTTAGTTAAGTTATTCGAAGGAAATGTTTGAGCCATTTCGACAGTATCAGAGATGTGTATATGTACAGCTTAGATCCTTTCACACTTTCACATGGTGAGATGTATACTTACAAAAAAACAATGATGGCATATTTATTTCTTATTTCTTAAGGTTTGTGACTTTAAGATGTTCCAAGGTGCTTGCTCAATTCGAAAATTAAAAAATGGATATCGACTTTGCAACAAAGTCTAGGCTAAAGTTGCGCACTTTGAAGATGTATGCGTGGAATCGGGCCTTGGCCATCATTTTCTGTAGCAAGAGAGATATCAATACGCCTCCAGTGACCAAACAACCCATGCTCTCTATTCCTCCGCTTTGCGAACAGAATCTGTTTTTATCCTACATCGTGTGATGTTTATCAATCTCCCAGCATTATTTATTGTACATTGTATGAGGTTTTCTGAATAGCAACCATAAGAAAAAAAAAGTATTGGGTCACTCGCTCGCTGCAAACCTCAAAAAAAGATTGATTGATTTGAGATATGCGTGCACGGTACTCGTTTAACTCGTAGAAAAGGATTGAATAGGTTGTGCATGAGGTCGATTCGCTTTTAAGTTATAAATGTTGTTAATGAACAGTGTATCTAGGAAACTGGAAGCATAGATTGCTATTGGAGACAAAATTGCACAAGTTTAGAATCCTCATTAAATATAAATATATATATATTCATGTAGGTAATGTGTCGATACATGCAGCGTAAATGTGAAAAATATGTTGTGTCAAGATTTTAACGACTTTAACTAATGGTACATGTATTTCCTCTTTTGTTTATAGTTTTGTGATAACTTAGATTTAAATGGCCCGATACTATGTAATGCAAGGGAGAGTGGATGAGAAAATGTATGCCGTGAAATTTTGTTTTGGTGTATATGAGTGAGTATTGAATGTTAGTAGAAAATGTACAATTTGATGTGAGAGAGAGAAAGAGAGAGAGGGAGAGAATGAATAAGAGAAAGAGAGAGATAGAGAGATTGATTTCTTTGTAGCACCATCTTCCACTGCAACCTTATTTTTCCTGTAATAATCATTAAGGAAAAGTTAATTCTGTCTATGCAAAGCTACTATATTTCTAGATAGCATACCAATTATGCAAATCTCGACATAATTTACTTCCAATCTCGTGTTTTAAACTATAATGAGTAGAAAGTAGTAGAAACTAACATCTCTGCAAGTATTGTTCATGTATATCTGTACAGAAGAAATCGAGGTATTTTCGACAGATGTGCGTCGTGTATCCTATGCATGTAGAATCTATGTATTCAGTAGGACCCCTGTCTTATCTATTTCATATGATTCAGGTATTTCATATAATTCCATCATCATCTTATCTGTTATATTAGAAGAGGGATGATTTCAGTGATTTTCAGATATGTACATGTTTATGCTGTATAACAAATTCTCCTCAAAGTGTATTGGCACCATGCCGCCTTTGTGTAGAATTAAATCGCTGTCTATTTATTCTCAATACGAATACAATGTATTAAACAAAGCAAGAACTGTTCTTTCTGAAAAAAAGAACGGTAGAAGTATTTTTTTCATATCCGTGATGATTATCGATGCTAGTATTGGATTTTTTTCTATCTATGATTTTGTTGTAGTTTGACAGAGGTGTATTTTACGCTGTGTAAAATAACGGTTATTTATGTGTGTGTGTATTTTTAAAACAGTCCTCTGTTGTCTTGGGGTTGTTCTTTGTCGAGTTGCTTGTTTTTTGTCTGTAATTTATACGTGCTGTCTATGGCACTGGTGAGGCTGAAAAGACTACGGTATGTGGAGCTGATCTGCTCTGTTTTTTAATATCTTTTTTTCTTTCTTTTCTTTAAAATATGAAGAGATGAGATTGCATCGAAAATGGTATATTTTCAGGGGATAAGGCCTGCACACTTTTACGTACCGGTAAACAGATGGAGCAAGATAAAAAAAAATTAAATTTCGTTTAGCTCTGACAAAGTTGTGAATATACATTAAAAGTCTTTTTTGATAAGAGATGGTTTGTGCAGGAAAACCGTTGTACCCTGATAATGTCCATATTCTAATTCTTCAAATAATTGGTCATTCTTAAACAACAAAGTAAACTTTTCTAATTACTATTCTAATATGTGTATGCTCTCAGTATAGTTATAATATGACAAACTGTATTGTTTTTCAATTTTTAACAAGTCGATTGATATATCCATGACAATTTTCGAAACTGTATGATAAGTTTCAGTAATTTTTGTATTAACAACTAAAAACAAAACGTTAAAAAAAAATAGAAAATAAAAACAGTAAAAATTTGTTAATGCTGCTTCTCTGCATCACAACCATATATGTAGCTAGTTTATTTTTATTTGACGAAACATGCGTAACCTTTTGACCTTTGACTTCTATCTAATAATATAAGCGACCAATACCGTGTGACAACTAGTCTTAACCTCAGGATCTAACATTTTATGTCGGATTCATACCATATGAATCTTTATTCTCTTTGAGTAACCAATTGTATATTAAGAAGAACTTAGACTAAAAAATATGCATTATTTATTACTTATCATACCTTACCTGTTGAAAATGTGTTTTGTAAAAGTTTCGCATAATGAACATTGAAAAGCCATAAAATTCCTTCAGGATCGAATTAACAAATTTCTTTTAATTGAAACTAACAAAGCTTCATTAATCAGCTCAATGTTTCGGCACCATGGTACTTTTTTCGGAATGGAAACAAATTAAAATTGCTCTAAGGAAAAGAAGCCTTTTCGCAATTCCTCTTACCCATTCAATTTATTTTAAATATATGATATCCATTTCTGTGGGTTCTTGTTCTGAAAACGTAACGGCAGTATCACGGTCAGTTGACAAACGGCTGATTTTGCTGTACTGGTATGCTTTTTTTGTTGCCTCAATGCTGCAAATTTTCAGGGAATCCAACAAGTTTTCAAAAGTTTCTTGATCCAACCGACTATTGAAAATGGTTGACCTTCTCACCCACACCTGTTTCCATGGTGATGAATATTTGTATTAAAGTCTGGTTGGTTATTTCCCGATATAGCGGCAAAAATCAGGTCAAAATTTTAGCAGCGTAGAAGAACCTTTCTGAGCCGTAATCTGGAGACTCTCATCAATTGTGTCCGTAAAGTGATGTGAATTGTCATAACAAACTGAAATGGTGCTGAATATACACTGATTATTGATGCTTGCACAGACATCTTTAAAAAAATAATTTGCGCGGATGTCTATTCATACCTGCTGACTACTGAATATCCCATAATATAAGCAATGTGGCTCGGGAAGATTGTTTGTGCGGCATTCAAAGAGTTAACCAACATAGAAGAAAACAGTTTTCAGAATGCCACCCCAAATTTTCAAAAATAAATGGATATTGGCTTTTCTTGTTCTCATGAAATAAACAATGTCTCAAATTTTCTCGAGACTGATCATACATATAGTTATGCATATATCAAAAATGTGATGTTCTTAATCAATGACCAGAAATTTCTACTAATGTAAGCATGTTAATGACGTTTTAGTATTTATGTTTAAGCTTATATATGCAACTTTTGTGAGCATTATCAATAAGGTAGTAGTTTGAAGCAGCAATATTGACAAAGTCTGAATATAAATTATGATATTTTTGAATAACATTTTCTCAATTTCCAATCGTATTTTGTATAAAACTGAACTGGATATTTCAACCTTTTTTTTTCTTGCTGTATTTTTGGAATTCATAATAAATTGATGATCTGTTATAGATCACATGGTATGTAAATAAAAATGGATGTTGTTTTTGTGAATTTCTGTTGTATTTGTTTATTTACCGTAGATTTTTGCAGTATATACTCTGCAGCCAAAATTTAGATACAGAATCTAGAATTTAGGAAAGCACCATTTTGCTTTCTCTCATCTCCTTTGATCTTTTTTCTTTCCCATTTTCAGAAGGGGAAGGGGCACTTATTATAAAAGAAAAGGGCACTTGTTAAAGTGAAATGGGCACCTCTCAGATTTGAAGAGGGGCAATTATCATCGGTGAAGGGGCACTTATCAGAGGTGGTAAGAGGCACCATTTTGCTTTCTCTCATCTCCTTTGATCTTTTTTCTTTCCCATTTTCAGAAGGGGGAGGGGCACTTATTATAAAAGAAAAGGGCACTTGTTAAAGTGAAATGGGCACCTCTCAGATTTGAAGAGGGGCAATTATCATCGGTGAAGGGGCACTTATCAGAGGTGGTAAGAGGCACCATTTTGCTTTCTCTCATCTCCTTTGATCTTTTTTCTTTCAAGAAGGGGAAGGGGCACTTATAGCAAAAGAAAAGGGCACTTGTCAAAGTAAAATGGGCACCTCTCAGATTTGAAGAGGGGCACAATCGTCGGTAAAGGGGGCACTTATCAAAGGTGGTAAGAGGCACCATTTTGCTTTCTCTCATCTCCTTTGATCTTTTTTCTTTCCTATTTTCAGAAGGGGAAGGGGCACTTATAGCAAAAGAAAGGGCACTTGTTAAAGTAAAATGGGCACCTATCAGATTTGAAGAGGGGCAATTATCATCAGTGAAGGGGGCACTTATCAGAGGTCGGAAGAGGCACTTGTAAGAATGTGGAACGGGCACCCATAAATTAGAAATAAAAAGGGGCACTTATCTGAAGTAAAAAGGGGACCTTTCCTTTGTATAAAGGGGCACTTTAGGGGTACTTGAAAATGTGGGGGCATTGTCCCCCCGGTCCACCGCCTCTGTGTGTACCAGTATGAGAATCCGGATATGAATATTGATGGCGATTTGAACTTAACCAACTAATTCAGTATTTACCTTCCTCTTGAAAACGTACATGATGAACAAGTTGTGCCGATCGAACATGTCTCTTATTGCTCAAAGCAAAAGATCTGTTCATAACACGTGTATGTTCCTTCCCGTACAAGACCAAATTCTGCGGGTTGTGTTTGAATGTTGCAGCACAGAAGATCAAGTTTTGGTACAATAGTGGTAGCTATTTTCAGAACTCAGCTAAAGATATACCTATTTCAGATTGCTTACAATTAGTCACTGTTTTTTTGTCTTTCCCAGTTAGAATCATAAACAGACATTTTTGGTAGTTTTTCAGTCTCACCAGCGCCTTTGATTAGGCAACTAGATATTGGCGCTTTATAAATTCCTGGATTGGATTGGAATTTGTTTCCCGCTCATTCTTACTGAAAAGTTATCTGTACACAATTGGTAAAATGA